CTCACCCTTGCGCAACGTCTCGAGCCTCGCCGCGAGCTCGTCGTCGCGCTCGCACTGCCTTGACGTCGAATCTCCTGGGCGAAGCTCCATCTCATCTTCTGGGACCGTGATCTGGTGCTTCTGCCTCTTCAACATGCCGTCCGCGGTGGCATCCGTCCCTCGCTTCTGGGGGGCCGTCGAGGCGATGATCGGGGAGCCGTTGTCGAGGTCAGCCGTCTTGGTCTGCATGCGCTTCTTCGGCTTGGGAGGCGGAGTAGGGACAGCTGCATCGCCATCTTCATCTGCAGGGGGTCCAGCGGCATCTTTATGTTGTGCCACATGAGGTTTATCGCCGTCCTCAGCCTCCTCCTCATCATCATCATCCTCGTTCCCGTACTCCTTCTCGCGCTCCTGAGGGTCAGCTGCATCCTGCGGATTGGGAGCCACCGCTGCTGTCGCTGCCTTCTTGGCAGCTGCTGGCTTCTTGAGCATCACGCTGCCGTTCCTCCTCACCTTCTCGCCATCGCCGTCCTTGGCCAGGCTTTTCGCTTTCTCCAGCTTCAGCACCGTCGCTTCATCTTTGCTGTCAATCTCGCCCTTCATGAACTTCTCGGCGACGGTGCCTGCCCACTTGATAGCCTCCGTCTCGTTGTTGCCGAAGTTGGCGCAATCGAGCTGGGCCTGCTGTTCGACCTTGCCACTTGGCCTCTGCCGCATGATGCAGCACAACCGTTGATTCTCTTTGCCCTTGGGCTTGTTGTTCTTGATCCATACCCAGACTTTGCCACCGTCCTTCAGCTCGTACTCATGGTGCTTCGGCATCTTCTCCTTCTTCCCATCTGGTGGTGGTCTCCATATCGAGGAATACTGCCACGTCTCTCCGTCCTCGAACGTGACCGTCATCATGCCCCTCTCGTCAGGGCCGTCTGGTTCGCCCACGGCCTCCTCGGGGTCCTCATTCGGTGCAGCCCCGCTCCTGTACCTGATTGCCCTGGCCTTCTGCTCGTCGTACTTGTAGATGAACTGCGGAGCCGAGCCCATGCTGTCCTGGCTGTCCTCGGGCGTGCGGGAGATGCCGTGTTTCGCCATCTCATCCTCGAACCACTGCGGCCACTTGGGCCTCACCAGCACTTTGTAGACATGACGGCAGAACACGCGCAGCCTCGCCGTGTACTCTGCAGCCCACATGTTCAGTGCTTTTGAGCCCAACTGCGCATCCCAACCCTTCTGCGCCGCAATCATCTTGAGGGCGCTGTCCAAGGCCTGGCGACCCAATGACATGTTGGGAGCTATCTTGAGCTTGATGGTCGCTGCGAGGGAGGAGCTGGCAACGAAGGTGTCCTTGTTCTGCCCCAGGGCGTCCCCCTTCTCGTCCCTGTTGGCATAGATGAGAAAGTCCCTCTCCTTGATGTGCGGGCCGAGCTCCTGGGGTGGCACCAGGGGCGGAGCAGCGGCAGAGGAGGAGGGGAACACAGGCAGGAACAAGGATAAGGGAGGAGGAGGAGGAGGAGGAGGAGGAGGAGGAGGAGGAGGAGGAGGAGCATGGGGAGGGCAGGGTAGTCAAGGGCATAATTTACGAGGCGCTGCGCGCTGAAACTCTAGTGGGCTCGTGATGTGCCGCGTCCTGGCGGCTCTAGGCTCTGGGGGCTCCCAGGAGGTTTACAGACCACGCACTTGTAACCCAGGGTAGGGTCGTTTTTTCATCCCTCAAGGTAGGGTAGGTGACTCCGACACGAGGGGATTCTGATGGGGCCCGATCCTTCACCATCAGCTCCACGTCTGAGCAGGCCAGCGCGCGCACGCGCTTGTCATCGCCCTCGTTCTCCGAATCGACCATCGCAGGGCGCGCCGAGACCGCGGCCGTCCGAGTGGCTGTCTGGGACGGGCCTTGGGGCCTCGAGCACCGCGGCGAAAGGCGCGAGGAGGGCAAGTATGGCCCATGTGTCTCTGGTGGGTCACAGTGGTCTTGCGAGGGCCCGCTTGGGAGCTGCTAAGACCTTGCAGGTGGTAATGCTTTTTGATCCACTGTGGACTTTCAGGACCTCGACGCCGTTGGGAGACCACAGGGAGTGTGAGCACGTTTGGGACCATGAGTGCCCGCCTGAGGACCCTTGAAACCTTTCGGGCCCGCCTGGGGTGCCCTCGAGCCCACCTGGGGATCTCTAGGACCTTGGCCCCGCCTGAGGACCCCTAGGGTCATCCGGGCGCGCCTGATGACCTCTGGGCCTCCAGTGGCCTAGGTCTGAGTGCGCCTTCCCCTGACTATTTCACCAGACGACCTCCTCACAATTTCACGCTGCAACGTGCGAGATCATACAATTACCCGCGCAGCGGTTCCGAACATAGCATCGTCAGCAGCGGGGGCCCCCACGCCAGGGCGGGGACGGAGGTCACCCGAAGGTGCTGGCTAAGGGGCCCCCGCGGCACGGCCCTGGCGGCCGAAGGGAAGGGTGTTGCGCCGAGTATGCAGGCGGCCGACGAGGGTCAAAGCCCCACCTGCACACCAAGCGCCGCACAATATTGACCTCCGTATCTGTGGACATCAGGGGCTGCCGAAACAGACCGCCACCCGTTCGGGAGCAAGGCTTCAGACTTCTGCCGTTTGGACGGCCCCCAAATCACCGCCCAAGACGGCACCCCCAAGACGGCGCCCCCGAGACGGCACCCCCGAGACGGCCCCCCAAGACGTCCCCCAAGACAGCGCCCCCAAGACGGCATCCCCAAGACATCGCCCCCAAGATGGCCCCCCAAGACAGTGCCCCCCAAGACGGCTTTCCCAAGATTGCACCCCGAAGATGGCCGAATCACCGCCGACCCGCGCCGAATGCTCTTGGGTCACGAGGCGTAATCCGCGGGCCTCCGCTCGGACCCCCAGGCGTATGAGGTATACGATGTACATATTGAAGTATGTATGCATCTACATATGCACACACGTGTTAAACAGGTGTGTGCATATATGTATGTATCGATGTGCATGTTTATATGTATGTCTGTCTGTCTGTCTGTCTGTCTGTCTGTCTGTATGTATGTATGTATGTATGTATGTATATATATATAAATATAAATATAAATATGTACAGATCGGGCATCCATGAGCTTCGTGTCTGAGTGGGCCTTCCCTTGACTATTTCACCAGACGACCTCCTCACAATTGCACGCTGCAACGTGCGAGATCATGCAATTACCCGCGCAGCGGTTCCGAACGTAGCATCGTCAGCAGCGGGGGCCCCCACGCCAGGGCGGGGACGGAGGTCACCCGAAGGTGCTGGCTAAGGGGCCCCCGCGGCACGGCCCTGGCGGCCGAAGGGAAGGGTGTTGCGCCGAGTATGCAGGCGGCCGACGAGGGTCAAAGCCCCACCTGCACACCAAACGCCGCACAATATTGACCTCCGTATCTGTGGACATCATGGGCTGCCGAAGCCGACCGCCACCCGTTCGGGAGCAAGGCTTCAGACCTCCGCCGTTTCGACGGCCCCTAAGTCACCGCCCAAGACGGCACCCCCAAGACGGCACCCCCGAGACGGCACCCCCGAGACAGCCCCCCAAGACGTCCGCCAAGACAGCGCCCCCGAAACGGCCCCCCCAAGACATCGCCCCCAAGACGGCCCCCAAGACAGTGCCCCCCTACGACTGCACTCCCAAGACAGCACCCCGAAGATGGCCGAATCACCGCCGACCCGCGCCGAATGCTCTTGGGTCACGAGGCGTAATCCGCGGGCCTCCGCTCGGACCCCCAGGCGTATGAGGTATTACATATATATATATATATAAATAGCTATAACTCAATGTAGGTGTGTGTCTTTCTCTTTATAAATATATACACACCTACATAAAACAAGGTGCATCTATATATGCATCTCTAAGTTTGTCTACTAGTATTTATACTTTATAAATCGATGTCTGAGTGAGCCTTCCCCTGGCCATTTAACCAGACGACCTCCTTTCAATTTTACGCCGCAGCGTTCGAACACATGCAGTGGTTCCGAACATGGCGTCTGCAGGAGTCCCCACGCCAAGGCGGGGATGGACGTCACCTGAAGGTGCTGGCGCCCCCGCTGCGCAGCCCTGGCGGCCGAAGGGAAGGGCCAAGCTTGCGAATGATGCAAGCGGCCGACGAGGGTCAATCCTGCACACCATGCGCCGCACAATCCACAACCAATTATGTACATCGACCCGAGCTGTCGATGTACTGCAAGAAATCTGTTGACGCCATGGGCTGCCGAAGCCGACCGCCCCCGGTTCGGGAGCAAGGCTTCAGACCGCCGCCCCCAGTTTTGGAAGGCCCCCAAGACAGCAGGCGGCACCGCCCAAGACGGCACCCCCAGGCGGCACCTTCCCACCCCCAAGACAGCCCCTTAAGACGGTTCCCAAAACAGCGCCCCCAAGACGGCCCCCCCAAGACATCGCCCCCAAGGTCCCCCCGAGACGGCCCCCAAGACAGCGCCCCCCAAGACGGCACTCCCAAGACAGCACCCCGAAGATGGCCGAATCACCGCCGACCCGCGCCGAATGCTCTTGGGTCACGAGGCGTAATCCGCGGGCCTCCTCTCGGACCCCTAGGCGCGTAAGGTACTACATATATATATATATATACACACATCCATACATACATACATACATACATACATACATACATACATACAAACATACATACATACACACATACATACATATATGTATATATGTATGGATATATATTCATACATACATATACATATATACATACGTGTAAACCTATACATATGCAAATATGTAAATTAACGTAATGTATAACATTATATAACAGTGGCCGCATGTTATATGGTGTTGCGCAATGAATGTATGATCTTACAATGTAAACGTGTGTACGTGCATGTTAGATGTCATTAAAGTACTTGTTGTGTGTTGAACAAGTTTGAGGACAATTTTGTTGTGTTGAACAATTTTGAGGACAATTTTGCATTGTTGAACAATTTTCAGGACAATTTTGTTGTGTTGAGCAATTTTGAGGACAACTTTATACGTGTTGGAAAAACTTGAGGACTAAATCCAAGAGCGTTGAAAAACAGGGACTAAAATCTAGTCCCAGACGACCTCAGGGTAAGGGTCACTGGCGAGAAGATTGCAAGAAGCCATACAGGTCGAAGGCGGACAGACTCAAGTCGGAGGGCAAGAGCTTCTACTTTCAAGTGGGGTCGGCAGCGGGCTCGAGCGGGAGCACCTGGGCGATCTTCGCCGAGGAGCTGGCCGAGGCGATCGCCTTGGTGACGGCTAGCAGGTCAGACTCATTTTCGGGAGTGACGCTGAGGTCGATGGCAGACCAGGCTCTGGTAGACACGGCGGCGGCCCAGGCTTTGATAGGCGTCCCGGACCTCAAGCATCTCAAGTCGGCTTTCAAGGAGAAGGGCTTCAAGGTGCACGTTAGGTACCAGGACGATCTTCCTTTCGCCAGCGGCGTCGGAGGGCGCGTCCGCCCGGTCGCCAAAGCTTTCGTTCCAGTATCATTTCACGGCTGTGGGGTATTGGAATTTCTCGTGTTGCCGCATCCTTGTCCCCCCTTGTTGCCAGCAGGGTTCCTGGACTTCATGTCGGCCAAGATCGACCTAGCGGCCAACCAGATGACGGTGGGAACGGATGACGCCACCACGCTGGATATGACGAAGCTCCCATCAGGCCACCGCACGATCGGTCTGATCGGCAAGTCCCCGTCAGATTTCGTTCTCGACCCTGATCTGGCCCAGAAGTTTCCGTCTTTTCGGATCGGCTCGGAGAGCGCCTGGGCCACGAGCGTGTCGAGCGGCTCAGACAGGTGGGAGCGGGGCGGCAACAAGCTGAGGCTGGTGTTCACCAAGCCCCGGCGTGCCATGCCAGTGAAGAAGGATCTGAGTGAGTCTCCCGTTCCGTCGAGCTTTCTGGAAGACGAGATGGTCACGACTTGCAGGTTCAAGAATCCCGACGGGATCTACGTCGAGCACATCTTCGAGGGCTCGGTATCCGACCTCGAGGACGATGCAAAGCTCATGCCGGACTACTGGGTCGGGCACGTGGAGTTTCAGGTGACGGCGCCGCCTGTGCAGGACAGTAGGGGCGGGCCGGGGCCGCCTGCATGCCAGCAGTCTCCTCCTCCTCTCTCGTCGTCCGAGTCGTCGTTCGAGTCGGGATCAATCGCAACGGGACTGAAGTCAGGGACTGACGAGGGGTCTCGAGACCCCCTCTCCTCCGTAGCCCCTCTCGGCTCGAGCTCGGCCGATTCTTTCGTCCACGTATCGCCTCCCAGCTCGCAGCCGGCGGGTAGCCGTGCCGGTGCAGGTTGTCAAGAAAGGCGCCAAGCCGGGTTCGAGGTCGGTGGGGAACCTGCTGGGGCGCACGCGCGCCTCGATCAGGAACGCAGGCGGGCTCGCTCTACCGACGCACTACGAGGAGCCGGCCGAGAGCGAGATCGAGGAGAACTGGGACGTCACGCCGGATCCCTGGAGGGACACGCAGCTGCAGCAGATCGACTACTCGGAGGTGGAGCTCAGCGAGGTCGAGAAGAATCTGGTCAACGAGGGCGGGTTTATGTTCACGCCCGCGGAGACGGGCTGGCGCCGCTTCGCGCTGAAGCTGCTGGCAGTACTGATCTCGTGCGCTCAGTCGAGGCTGATCTCGGTGCTCGCCCCCTCGGTGATGCCGGCGATGGCCAGCAAAAAGATCTTCACGACCGAGAACTGCCCGCACCCCCTGGAGCACCGCAAGCGCCGGGCCAACCGGCATGCGGCCTGGATCGTCTGCCAGCTGTGCAACAAGCGTCTCTCGTGTCACTCCAAGACGGTCGAAGAGAAGCTCGAGGCCAAGATCAAGAAGGAGTGCGAGAAGGCCGAGAAGTCACAGAAGGCCAAGAACGAGCAGGACATGATCAGGGAGGCGGTGGAGGCCTACCACGCGAAGCAGGAGCACGTGAAGCAGGAGACTCTCGACGAGCCGGGTGCCCAGGAGGTTCCACCTCATCAGCCGACTTACCGCAGGGCTGTGCCCATCAGCTCTGCGTGACCGGCGTTTCCCCGCAGCGAGGGGCATCCAGGGATGCCGAACCGCATCTCTTGGAAGGTGCCGCCGCCGGGCTACGTGGCGATCGACCTCGAGGGACCCGCCGCGACGAAGGCACCTCCGACGGCACGCAAGTCCTCTGGGGTCGCGCACCTGACGCGTGCCCAGGGCCAGAGCGGAACGCTGAGGAACCAGAACCCGACGGTCGAGAGTCACCTGATGGAGGCGCTCTTGCAGAACCAAGAGTCCAACCGCAAGGAGATTCTGGAGTACATGTTCGCACAGAGGCAGGAGTCGCAGGCGACGAAGGAGGAGTTCGAGCAGCTGATGAAGGTCTTGACGGCGAATTTTCGTTCGGGCGGATCGTCGGCTTCGGGATCGGAGGGGCCTCCGATCGAGCCAGCACCCATGGAGACGCTGGACGACGAGTATGGCCAGAGGCGCCTCTCGTGAGCAGCTGCCCGGCCCAGGACAAGCGGGACGGCGACCTGGTGGCGAGTGAGCCGCCACAGGCTCTTGATTCTGCTGACGCCGGGTCCTCCATATTCGAGGCTTCGACGAAGATCGAGGCCGAGTCTGCGCGCGCGATAGCAGGCTCCACGGGCGCCAGGTCTGACCCGGGCTCGAGCAGAGCTTTGGAAAAAAAGAAGTTCAGTCGTTTCACGATTTGGGAAGTTTCGTCAGCCTCTCAGGAATCTCAGGAGAGGCTTCGCCAGATTCTGCACCCGGGGACCGATCCGAGCGGCTGGACCGCCAAAAGCTTTTCAGTCTGGGATTCTGGAGGACGCCGCGAGCATCTGAGGGTCAGGTCGGGCTTGGAGGCTCGCTGGGTCTGGGATGCTGACACGGGGGGGCATGTCTCTCTGGAGAGGCTCTCGGACGAGGCGCAGTGGCAGGCCGAGGACCTCGGCCCGAGCGAGAAGGCCCAGTGGTTGGTCTACCTCGCTCTTCGAGCCGCGGACAGCCGTGCGATGGAGTGTCCCAGGTCGGGGGTTAGGCGTTTGAGAGTGACGGCGACGGACCGAGCTCGGGACGTGGTGGACGTGCTGTGGGCCGGGGCCTCAGCGTCAGGGCTCCGAGAGGTCTTAGCCGGATACAGCGCCGATCAGCTAAGGTTTACCGTTTGGTCTCCTCGTTGCCCGTCGTCGGACTTAGCTTCCCAGATCCCTAGCTCTTGGAGATTGTTTTTTTATCCTCTGGGGGGTAACGCTCGTTACCCGGGCCTCTCCCCCCCCCCCCCCGTAACGGTAACGCTCGTACGCGGGGGGGGTCTCGGTCTTCCCCTCCAACATGCTGGTGCCCGAAGGCATGCGCACTGTGGTGTGGTGGTCGCAGGCGCACTGTGGGCGCTCGCAGGCCATTGCGGCGCTCGCATGCGCGATGCTGGTGCTTGCGGGCTTTGCGCTTGTACTCGAATCGTCGTCGTCGTCGTCGTCGTCGTCGTCGTCGTCGTCGTCGTCGTCGTCGTCGTCGTCGTCGTCGTCGACGGCGCCCGAAAACGGCCTCCGGAGGCCGAAACAGGCGGCAAACGTCGTCGTCGTCGTCGTCGACCTCGTCGCTCGTCGCTCGTCGATCATCGTCGTCGCGCGCGCGGGCGCGGGCGTGGTGCCGGGACCACGCGGCGGGCTTTGCGCTTGTACTCGAATCGCAAGCCACTGTGGTGCTCTCAGGCAGAGAGTGCTGCTCGCGCGCATACTATGGCGATCGCAGAGCGCCCCTGCTTCGCCATACCCCGCCCAGCCCAAGCGTTACCGTTACCCGGGGGGCACCCCCCCCCCCCCCCCCGGGTAACGAGCGTTACCGGCCGGAATAAAAAAATGATCTCTTGGGTCGTCTTGGACAAGAGCCCGCTCCTTAGCAAGCGTCGAGAAGCACCCGAAGCAGCAGTTCCCCGTCATGTGCGCCAAGACGCCCTTAGAATGTTCGACGGGGTAGGAATCCGAGCCGGTCGCAAGAAGCTAATGAAGGACCTCATACGCCATCTTCGACGAGAACAGAGGACCCTGCTTTTGGAGCTTTTCTCGACCCCTCGAGTCTCAGTGGAAATGGTTCGTAGGGGCTATCAGGCCTCCCACGCTATCGATCTTAGGACAGGTTGGGATCTTCGCCAGGCGAATCAGAGGGCCAAGCTCTGGGAGGTCATGGAGAAGGACGGGCCCGAGGTCCTCCTGATGAGCCCTCCTTGTAAGGGTATGAGTGTCGCCAGGGTCCCTAACTGGGACACCATGCCGAAGCACGATAGAGATCGAGTCGAGCAAGAGTGTCTGATGATGTGGGGTCTGTGCATGCAGCTGGTGATGTTTCAGCTGTCCAAGGGACGGTCTTTCTGGATTGAGAATCCGTACGGGGCCTTCTCTCAGCAGCTGAGTTCGACGAAGGAGCTTCTGAGCCAGCCCGGGGTCCAGGTGGTTCGGGGAGACCAGTGTGAGTTCGGGCTCAGGACCCTCGACGGGGGTCTGGCCATGAAGCCCACGAGCTTCATCTCGAACAGTCCGGAGCTTCTCGCCGTATGTCACAGGAGGTGCACGGGACAGCATGAGCACTCGCAATTGGTGGGCGGGGCCAGGACATCAGCAGCTGAGCGGTATCCTGAGCGTCTGGTGGACGCGCTGATTGAGGGCGTTGAGCGGACAGGTTTTGCCGTTCTGTCAGCTAGCGAGCCGGAGGCCCTCTCGTTTCCGGCCGCCGCTGCCCCATGGGCAGACCCCCACCCGGTTGACGGCGGAGAAATCAGCGACTCCGAGGAGGAGGGGGAACTCGAGCGTCCGGGCCCTGAGGGGGCCGAGAAATCCGATGCCTCAGGTTCGGTTGGAATTCCACGGGAACTCCAGGACGAGGTCCACAAGTTACACGTGAATTTGGGACACCCCCGGCGAGAGCATCTGATCAGGACGCTAAAGGTCGCTCAAGCAAAGCCTGAGGTCATCAACTGGGTCAGCAAGCATTTCGTGTGCCCTGGATGTCAGTCGGCCTCTCGGCACGGCTGGCGCCGGCGCTCGTGTCTGCCGCGAACCTATCGGTTCAATAAATTGGTCGCAGCGGACCTTCTGTATATAAGTACCCTTGGCGAGACTAGGCCAGTCCTCAACTTGATCGACCACGGGTCGAACTTCCAGGTTTGCGTCCTCCTGCCCTCGGCTTCGGCCGCCGAAGTGTGGAGGGCCTTTTTGCGGTATTGGGTGAGGCCACTCGGTCTGCCTGAGACCGCCATGACAGATGGGGGACCCGAGTTCGAGGGAGCCTTCTCCCGGGGGCTGGAGCAGGAAGGAATCTTCCAACACGTGTGCGACGCGGAGTCACCCAACCAGAACGGGCGCTGCGAGCGTCATGGGGGGCTCGTGAAGGCTGCTCCGGTTAAGGCTTCTGGAGGCACTGCTCCAGCGACTCTGGAAGAGGTGGAGGACCTTCTCTGCGAGGTGGTCGCGGCCAAGAACCGTTTCGCCCATAGGGGAGGGTTCTCTCCTTACCAAATGGTTTTTGGGGAAAATCCCAGACTCCCTCGTTGCCTCTTGTCGGGCGATGCTCACGACGAAGTCGGGATCGACGAGGCGGTGAGGGGCTCGACTGACGCGGAGTCTCCGTCGGCAGCTTTCGCGAGGAAGCATGCTTTGCGAGAGGAGGCCCGGCGGGCCGTCATGACCATGGACGTGCGGGACCGTCTCGTTTCTGCTTCGCGTGCTCGCAAGCATGTGGATCCAGTGTTTTCCCCGGGGGGTTGGGTTTACGTGTGGAGGCGTGCCCCCTCTCAGCCTCACGGCAACGTCGGCAAAAGCAGGTGGACTGGGCCCGGGGCCGTGGTTTTCCAGCAGGGAACGACGGTTTGGGTGGCGATGCGCTCGCGTCTCTTGAAGTGTGGGAGCGAGCAGGTTCGTTGGGCCACCAAGGAGGAATCGTGGGGAGCCGAGCTTCTCGACTCTCCCTCTTTCGACAGCCTCAGGCGCGACCTGAGGGGCCCAGGGAAGCGGGTGGGAGCGGTCGACGTGGAGTCCGAGGGGCCCCCTCCTCCAGGTGCTTGGGACGTGGCGGCGCCCCCTGAACGCTCGGAAGGCGCAGCTGCGGTCGTGGCCCCACCCACTGCTCGAGGGGCTGAGCCGGTGATTGTTCCAGAGGATGATCCTCCTGTCCCTCCTGCTCCTCCTCTCCCCTCTTCGCTCGAGAGGGCCTCGACGGCCCAACCTCCCTCTTCGATCCAGGGGTCCGTGCCCACGCCCGCGGTCTCTCGTCAGATTACGGATCCGGGAAGCGTCGATCCCTCCCCTCGTCTTCATCAGAGACCAAGGCTGGAGCCGCCTCCCCCTCACCAGTCAGCGCCTCGGACCCCGGCAGAGCAGCTGCCAGCTTCTGGGCGAGCGTTGGCGCTCGCGAGAGAGATCGACCCTTCGATCCGGCGCCGCAGCGCTCTAGATGACACTCCAGTTTCGATTCGCCGTGGCGATCTGCGCCCGGCTGCCTCTTCCTCCTCCGATGCTCCTGGCCAGCCGAGCTTAGGTGCTGGCGACGGCGCAGACGCCGCCCTGGAGTCCGGAGGGCGTGCGAGGTCGCGAACTCCCGAGCCTCGCCTTCTTGAGCCCAGGGATGAGTCCCTGAGATCGAGCACAATTTTTGACAGATATGGTGCTCCGGTCTCGAGGGTCGCCGATCGGGCGATTCGAGATGCTGGCTTGGAAGATGTGCCTCCATATCAGAGGATCTTGGGTTCCTGGTTTGAGGACGGCGGCGAAGACGAGCAGTCAGAGTTCGACGAAGAGCAGGAGGAAAGCCTATGGGCTGAGTTGTGCGGGTGGTACGGCTGGGAGCCGTCCTTTTGGGTTGGGGGAGCTGAAACCTTCGCGGAGACTGGGGGCTGTTCTGGGGAAGGGGCCCCTCCCAGTCGGAGAGGAGCGGAGGTTTCGCTCAAGCATCTCTCGGAGGCCGAGAGACGCCTTTTCGTTTTCTCAGATGCCAAGGAGTGGCAAGCGATTTTAGATTCAGGAGTGGTGAGGATCGTTCCTGCCGCCGAGGCGGCTTTAGTGCGCAAGCGTTTTCCTGATCGAGTGCTGGGTTCCCGGATGGTCCGACGTTTTAAACCACAGGAGGGTTTGGGGTCTGAAGCTGCTGCTAAATCTCGATGGTGCGTGCAGGGGCACCATGACCCCGACAGTGATCAGTTGCAGGTCTACGCCCCCACCCCCCAAGGGGAAAGTATCATGTTGACTCTACAAGCGATTTGCTCGTTGGGTTGGACCTTGGAAGTTGCAGATGCTAAGAATGCATTCTGTCAGTCCAACAGACTGTCTCGTCCACGTGGACAGATTTTCTGCGAGCCCTGTCAGGGGCTGAACCTCGCCCCAGGCGAGCTCATTGAGCTCATTGCGCCAGTGTATGGATTAAACGATGCCCCATTGCTGTGGCACCGCACGCTCACACAATGGTTGTCCGAGGACGGCTTCGAGAAATCCCTTCTCGAGCCCTGTTTGTGGGTGAAACGGCCAGGCCAGGGGGAACCTCGCTCCGTCGTGCTTATAGAAGTGGACGACCTTATAGTGTCTTCGCGCCCCGGGGAGAGGGCCGGTTCGAGGGAGCGGCTCCAAGGCCGTTTTAAATTCGGGAAGTGGAAAATCGGGGAGTCGGATTTCGCGGGGAGGCACCTCAAGCAGGTGGGGTCTCGTATTTTTGTAGACCAAGAAAAATACGTCGTTGAGCAGCTTGCCCCCGTGCGTCTGGCTAAGGAGCGCCGTGCTGTGCCAGATGATCTTCTCACCGCGGAGGAGATCCGCCACTATCGTACGATTGTGGCACAGATACAGTGGCTGGGGAGGGAGTCTCGTCCGGACGTGGCCGCCGGAGCCTCGTTGCAGAGTGCCGCGCTGCCGAGCCCCACGGTGGCCGACGCCATCATGTGTTTGGAAATAGTTAAGCATCTCAAGAGCTCGGCGTGCCAAAAGATTACGATCTGGCCTCTAGACGCTGCCTCTCTAAATTTCGTGACTATTTCCGATGCTGGTGGCCCCGGGTCCGCTCGTAGAAACGGGGCCCAAGGAGGATGGCTCGTGCGTGCGGCCGATGCGTCGATTCGGCAAAATGTGAGGTCCCGGGTGTCCTTGCTTTCTTGGCGTTCGGTCAGGTTGAAGCGCGTGGTCGCTTCCACGGGGGCTGCTGAGACTCTGAGTTTGAGTGCTGCGCTGGCCGAGGGCCAGTGGCTCGCCATCATGTGGCGAGACTTGCTTTTCAATGACGTGTGCAAGCCCGACTGGCACCTCTCGCAGGCGCCCTTCTCTGTTGTGCTGAGCAGGGACTGTACCTTGTCTGAGGGAGTGAGCTCGCTTGCGGTCGTCGATGCGAAATCGATTTTTGATATTTTGTCTCGCAACAGTGCGGGCTCCCGTCAGGACAGGAGAACGGCGATTGAGCTCGCTGTCGTGCGCGACAGTCTCTCGGCTATAGGCTCTCAGATCAGATGGGTTCCTCATGGCCGCATGGCGGCATATTGCCTTACTAAGGCAGACCCCACAGGGGGAAACGTGGCTCTCTCGGACCTTCTCAGTCGAGGTTCGATCGTGCTCGTGGATGAGGAGGGACACATGACAGAGAGAGCTCTCAACAATGATTTAAAGAGTCGGTCGCGCGCGTCATCCCGTCAGGCTCTGAACCAGCCGGGAGACGGCTACTGGGTCGGGGACCAGGCCGGGGTAGGCGTGAGGGGCGAGGAGGAGGGCAGGAGTTTCGGGCCGCTGTCAGATCCACTGAAAGTAGTCCCGTTGTGGTCGTACCCCGACTCCCCTCCTCCCTGTGTGTCCCTTGGATCTGACCGTAGCCTGTTGGCTTAAGGCCGCTGGGTCGGCGGAGTTTCTCAGTACTGCACTGTGGTGTTCAGAGGCGTGCCTCGGAAAACTCTATGCCCATCCTTTGATGACTCGTTATCTTTCGCCTTCTTCGATGCCCGACGGAGACGATCTCATTTGGGCGCTTTTGTGCTTCGGAGGCCGTCTTGGGGGCCTCTCGCGGCCGCTTTGGGGCCGTCTTGGGGTCCTCTTGGGCCGTCATAGGGGGCCTTTTGGACCGTCTTGGGTGCCTTTTTGGGGTGTTTTGGGGTTCTGTTGGGCCGTATTGGGGCCTTCTTTGGGGCTTCTTGGGTTGTTCTGGAGCGATTTAGGAAGCTGCTTGCGCCGCCAAGGCGAGAACGCTAAAAGAGTACCAAACCATATCGAAATCAATGATTTCGGCTTCTGGAGGCGCAGTTGTGGGCGCTCTTGGGGCCGTCTTGGGCTGTCATTGGGGCTTTTTGGGCCCTCTTGGGGCCATCTTGGACCGTCTCGGGGCCGTCTTGGCCCGCACAGGGCCCATTTTGAGCCGTCTTGGCGCCCTCTTGGCCCCCCAAGAGGCCCAAGAGGTCGAAATCATTGATGTTCTATAGGTTTTGGTAGGTTTTTGAGCCCCGGGAGGGGGGGGGGCACGTTGGTCCGCTCCTGTGGCGCAGCTCCCAGGGGGGGGTTCGGGGGGAGACATAATAATGTAACACAACACGATACGTGGCAATTCTGCAATCATTGGATACATTGGACACGTTGCATTAAGGCGTTCGCCGAAGAACGCTGCCGCTCAGCACGTCACCTCCGGACGTGGATTGATTGGTTTACGCCGCCGACCCCTTGCCGCGTGGCCTGTCCGGACAGCCTGTGAGGCCCCTCCAGACACGTTCTGGGGCCTTTTTAGGACTGTCTTGCCGTTCC